CATTGTTGATCAAGGAGTGGTAGGTCCAAGAATCTGCCACAGTTTTATACCCTCTACAGTTCGTGACAGTTCGTGCATTTTCGATTTCGCGAGAAATGGGTGCATGACACCCACATATTCATTGAAATGATGCGTTTTGGCGATTCGTTTCTTATGTTGCGTTTTTACTCGGGCATCCAAAATGCAACCAAAAATATTGATAACACCATCAGACTTTACTACATGCTAAAACTCGTATCAATTTATGGTTCTGTGTTTGTCACCTATTTGCTTAAAACCACTTGTGTTTCTTTTGCGTGTGAGTATATAAACACATGATACCAACACTGTATTTCCCCACGGCATGCATTTCCTTTCATCATTGCTATTACATAATTAATGAACAAATGGAAACCCTTTCAAACTAAGTCTTCTGTAGCCTTAACGTCTATATACTGTTTGTATATAAACAGATGAGTCTGATTAAACATAATTACTTTCGTGTTTTGTTTGTTTGTTGTTTAACGCCGCACTACGCAATATTCCAGCTATATGAAGGCGGCCTGTAAATAATCGACTCTGGACTAGACAATCCAGTGGTCGACATCATGAGCATCGATCAACGCAATTTGGTTGGTTGGTTGGTTTGTTGTTTTACGCCGCACTCAGCAATATTCCAGCTATATGACGGAGGTTTGTAAAGAGTCGAGTCTGGACCAGACAATCCAGTGATTGACATCATGAGCAGCGATCCACGCAATTGGGATCGATGACATGCATCAATCAAGTCAGCGAGCCTGACCACCCGATCCCGGTAGTCGCCTTTTACGGAAAGCATGGGTTGCTAAAGACCTATTCTACCCCGGATCTTCACGGGTCAACCCAATTAGGATACGATGACATGCATCAACATGGGATAAGATGACATGCATCAACCAAGTCAGCAGGACTGACAACCCGATCCCGTTAGTCGCCTTTTACGACAAGCATAGTCACCTTTTACGGCAAGTATGGGTTGCTCGAGACCTATTCTACCCCGGATCTTCACGGGTCTCGATTTTTATGAGTTAATGTATTTGTCTGAAATATTATAACGAGACTTGTGACCATGGTTTCAGGAAACCTTTCCAGCGATATTGTTTCAGCATAAACATTCACATGTTGTATATGACACGCTTAAATGTTTGTTTTAACCTAATTATCTCTGATGGTAAAGTGCTTTTTGTGTATCGAACATTAATTATCATACAGGAAATTCATAATTTGTCTAAAACCACATCAGAGTGCTAATAATAACCATGATTAGTTTGTTGCAAATATTGATAAGGTTGTTAATATTGTACCTCGAAGCAGAGACCATTTATCGGCGTTTGCTCTCTGCTATAACACTTGATACCGAGCAAATACATGGGCAAAACTGCATGAACGTATTATTCTGAGAAATATACTGTAAATGAGGGTTTGAAACAAGTTTCTAGCTTGCGCAAATAATGATAGATATGTGGACTGTTTAAATATTCTTTCACATTTGAAGCAATAAGATCTCTGAAGTGTCTGTTGAATGCCCACTGTAAATATCAGGTTCGCTAACTTTGTTGATGCATGTCATCGATACCAATTGCGTGGATCGATGCTCATGATATTAATCACGGGATTGTCTGGTCAAGACTCGATTAGTTACAGACCTCCGTCATATAGCTGGAATATTGCTGAAGGCGGCGTTAACAATCCAGTGATTAATATCATGAGCATCGATCAACGCACTTGGGATCGATGACATGCATCAACCAAGTCAGCGAGCCTGACCACCCGATCCCGTTAGTCGCCTTTTACGACAAGCATAGTCACCTTTTACGGCAAGCTTGGGTTGATGAAGACCTATTCTACCCCGGAGTCTTCACGGGTCTCCAGTGAATAATATCATGAGCATCGATCCGCGCAATTTGGATCGATGACATGCATCAACCAAGTCAGCGAGCCTGACCACCCGATCCCGTTAGTCGCCTTTTACGTCAAGCATAGTCGCTTTTTACAGCAAGCACGGGTTGCTGAAGACAGTGTCATATTCTATCCCTGATCTTCACGGGTTGACTTACAAATAACTTGGAACAATATTAAAATGAACATGTATAAATAAAACCAGGAAAATTGACACTAGTGAGGACAATAGTCGGCGTAGCAAAGGTGGTAGCATGAAGGACGGGAACTCCATCGGTTACAACTTCGTATTGCTCCGAGGTTTGAAAATCAAAGTAATCTCAAATGTGTTGTTGCAGTATGACAAATGGTATTTCTCTCATACAGGAAGCATCCCATGAAAATATAAGGTATATCTGTTACTTCAATAGACCCTTAACAATTCTAGTTAACACCCTCACTCGAAAAACAAAAACAAAATAACAAAAACAAATAATCCATTCATACTGGTACAAATAGAATGTGTTTAGGTTTGAGTTTTGGATATAAACACATATGTTTCAGTGTAGTCCACGTGCAATGTTTTGGAGGTGTTTGGGCGTTGGGTTTGTGTTCCAGAACTGTTCAACCTCTGTCTGACATTTTTCAAAGCTTTCTTCTGACGAGGATCATGACATTTATATTTCATGATCCCCTACTTTTTAAGAGAGTATATTTCTTCTTGAGTAGGGGAGGTACAGGGCAATATGGTTATATTTATTTTTAATCTTTGGAGAAAGGAAAGCTACAATGACATGACAAGGAGATATATCGAAAAGTACTAAAAACACATACTGCAGAGCTCCAGATAAGCTTTTGGTGTTGTGGGTATTTTACCCATGCATTTTAAAATCGTTGGATATCAGTAATTCTATCTGGGTATTCAAATTTCTGTTACCCACTAGTTTTTACACATGTGGGTATTTAAGCTAAATATTTAAAAACACTTATCATCTAGTCCCTGCCAACTGGTGTCGTGTGGGTCCGAGAGCTTTGTAGGACTCAAAAATACCACGATACTTCCACAAGAAAGTGTGATGGCAAATGATCATGATGTAACTGTCATCTAGGAGTTTGGCAAGGTTGACGGAATGCCCGTTTATAATTTCAAAATAAGTTGCTGATTTGCTAATCGAATACGCAGGGTTATTTCACAATATGTTGATGATACGCACAAGTTATATTTTTGTAGTGTATCTGTAATGTTCGTTGCGTATTTGATACGCTTGGATTTTATTTTACTGCGTATTTCTACATTTCTGATGCGTATTTTACGCAGATACGCAGCTTATCTGGAGCTCTGTACTGTGTATCTTCGTCAGGGTCTTATCTTTCCCACGACATTCCGAGGAAAACAGTTTTGAGAGAAAAAGAAAAAAGAGTTAGCGAGCCGATGGTTATTTATTTTTTCATATTTTAACGCGAGCCGTCCTATCATTATAATGCAAATTGTGACAGTGCGGTTTGCTTACGCCACAAAGTACGTATATTTTGTGAAACAATTAATTTAACGGACTGTCTGCTAGTCTGTGTGAAATACTAGTAATTATGACTATACTTTCATAAAGGTTTCGTTACTTTATTACTGATATCTCAATGCAAGATGAACATAAAATACAATAAATGTTTTCGTATTTTTTAATTCAACTTTGAAATGAACACACCTTCTGATCTTGATTACAACAATGAAATACACATTAAATATTAAGTCAATAAGTCATCGAGAATTGCAGAATCTCGAACTTTTAATTAACGTTGAAATGTTAGTGACAAATCACTTATAATTCAAAGATTAGGTCTCAAGGTACCAGTAGATTACTTATAGGCTATTAGTTTGTCAAAAATCCGCAAGGGGATTTCATGAGGATCTAAAATAGCGGTCTGTATGACAGTCTCTATCAACAACGTGCATCCTGTCAACAAAGGGACATCACTCTCACAACTTGATAAATCATCTACAAGTTTAATGCTTAAGTGCGCAAAGATTCCGATTTCCAAGTTAAGACGATAAATATCATGTTCGACCGTGTAGTGTTTGAATTAAAAATTTACTGCACATATGGTAAATTGAGGTTTACTTATTTTTTTAAACAAATATGTTTTTTAGTTGTTAAAAAATTGTGCTTTTTATGTGTTATTAACAATCGTGCTTTTTTTTAGGTGTAAGCAATTGCTTTTCTGCTGCAATTTTAGTTTCGACCCTGGCGCTTAGCCAAAGTGTGTTTCTTAACATGGTGAAAACACGAATAGGAAACTAACTACGACATCCATACGAAAGATGTAAGTATTAAAATATAGCGCTGAACATAAGCTATCCAATGGTATCATTAACCATTTACAACAAGCTTTGTACAATTATTGAGAAGGTAACAACGATCATAATTACCATGATGATATCTGGAACTACATACCAATTTCGCGGTACAGCGCAAAATTAGGTCACAAAAACATTTTCAACACATGAATAACGCAGCAAACAAATATGAGATAACATACATCGAGTCAATACATGGAACGAGTGTGCCATTAATTCACACGAGAATTAAGTAGTCACTAATTCTCTAACCAAGAATGCAATGACACAGAATAACGAGGATCGCCGGACTTTGCCGAACGGTGACCAATCTCATTAAAATCAGACCTCAGTTCTCGCTACCGCTAAATAAAGATCTGAGGACATCCCATTAGTGGTCACGTCAGAACGACCTTTCATCAGACCAATCAGAGCATCGCTTACCAGATTATGAAAGTGACAGTCGGAATGTGATTCCTAATCATGCAACCTCGAAAACTTTAACTCCGAACGATAGTTACGGGTTTAACGACTGAATACATACAATCTAGACCATCTTTTAGCCATTACAGAATGTTCTTTTGTTCAGGTTTCAAATTTGTAATCGAGACTTTGTCAAAATATGTTTGAAGCGTAGTCGCCAATTTGAAATTAGTGCCGTAGAGCACGAGAAAGCTGCCTTCTGATAAATCATTCCATTGGTCGGTCAAAGTTTCCTCAAGGTCGGTCTGACGTGACCCGTAATGGGATGTCCTCAGATCTTTGTTTAGCTGTAGCGAGAGCTAAGATCTGATTTTCATGAGATTGAACGGTGACGGAATTAAAGCTGGGGAGGGGTGCGGTCACTAGATCGTGATAAGCCAATTTTACGACCCGGTGCCAGTGATGTAATGTTATGAGTTAGCTAAAACACAATGGAGTAATATTCACTGAATACTCCGATACAATCACACTTGTATGTATCCCAGGGTAGTGCCCAGTGTTTTTGGAGGGTGCCTCTCTCCCAATACCTCATACAAAAATGTCCACTGTCTAGTAGTTTTTTCATCGATACTTTTGATGTCGAGATTGAAAGAATGCAATCACATCCGAGAAGAGTATGAGCAAACTTGTGAATACGATCAATGTGACCCCAGTTGCACCAATGCTGGAGGAAGACTTCCGCTCATCGGGAGCACTGATGTATTTGCGGATGGTCTTCGTCAGGTTTGTCTTATCTAGAAGCAGATTTTCTCGAATTTCCTTCTTCTTTTCGTCGACGGATTGAATCGACAGGTCATTGAGTCGGTTCTCCGGAATACAGGAACACCTGCAAACGCGATAGACAACTCGCCCAGGGTTTGAATCTGGTACAAGTGCTGTGATAGAGTGAGTGGATGTTTGTCTGAATCCTGAAGAGACGTCTGTGTGCGTTTGAGTAGGGTCTGAAGTATGGGCACCAACACTCTCACTGACACCCCAGTGGATGTCAGTTAGAATGTCTTCAGAGCTGCTTAAGCTGATGGTACCTGACACAATGTTGACGTCCACACTTGCCAGAGGTGACGTGGATATGGTTGCACTTGATCTCGCGTTGGATGAATTTATTACGTATGATGATTGTGACGGCATGGTGTTATACCCAATGCCGTGAATTGATGACTCTCGGGGTATTGCACTGACACCAGTACTTGACCAGGTATCGGTTGAAGACTGGGATGACATAATGCCATTTGATGACCACACAGACATCAACTCACCCTCTGATGACGATGCTGTCTCAGTGATGTCGGTGATGCTATCGGTTGAAGATACTGATAAAAGAGGCTCGATGGAGTTGGGGTTCAATGAGGAAAGGATGACTTGAGATGACAGCACTGGCATCATCGTGTCATCCTCTGATGATAACACAACGGTGTCGGAGTCGACGCTATTGGTATCGGAGATAAGAGACGCCGCGAACGACAGAGACGTGGACGAGATTTCTGAAAGGAAAGGACGAGGCTGAGGCTAAACACTAATGAATACATTATATGATCACAGTACGAAGCTCGAGTGATAGTAGTATGTTACTAATTTATGGAAATACATTTGTTCATACATTGTCCGCCGTCATATAGCTGGAATATTGCTGAGTGCGGCTGTAAACAACAAACAAACAAGTTAATACATTGAATCTGAATGTATGCAACACATTATGCTTCATAAAAAATGCTTATTGTACCTTTAACTGACGGTAGTCGTCGATTAGATTTTCTCACACAAAACTCACCTAAGTAAGTGCTCAATATCAGTCGGTTAATTTCTGATGATTTAAACCAGATTAGTAGCTTTGAGATTTATTCGTGATAAGAAAGATACAACATTTCGAGTACAGAAACATTTAAGACTTCTTCATTTTTTAAGAATCAAATAGACTTAGTGTACATTTCGGGTTCAGAGTAGTTATGATACATTATTGTACCATAACATTTGTTTGTTGTTTGTGTGTTGCTTAACGCCGCACTCAGCAATATTCCAGGATCTTCACGGGCCTGTACCATAACAGTTCAAGATTGGTCGAGTAATAAGATCTAAAGATGTACCATAACAGTTCAAGATTGGTTGAGTAATAAGATCTAAAGATGTACCATAACAGTTCAAGATTGGTCGAGTAATAAGATCTAAAGATGTACCATAACAGTTCAAGATTGGTTGAGTAATAAGATCTAAAGATGTACCATAACAGTTCAAGATTGGTTGAATAATAAGATCTAAAGATGTACCATAACAGTTCAAGATTGGTCGAGTAATAAGATCTAAAGATGTACCATAACAGTTCAAGATTGGTCGAGTAATAAGATCTAAAGATGTACCATAACAGTTCAAGATTGGTTGAGTAATAAGATCTAAAGATGTACCATAACAGTTCAAGATTGGTCGAGTAATAAGATCTAAAGATCTACCATAACAGTTCAAGATTGGTCAAGTAATAAGATCTAAAGATGTACCATAACAGTTCAAGATTGGTCGAGTAATAAGATCTCAAGATCTACCATAACAGTTCAAGACTGGTCGAGTAATAAGATCTAAAGATGTACCATAACAGTTCAAGATTGGTCGAGTAATAAGATCTCAAGATGTACCATAACAGTTCAAGATTGGTCGAGTAATAAGATCTAAAGATGTACCATACCAGTTCAAGATTGGTCGAGTAATAAGATCTAAAGATGTACCATAACAGTTCAAGATTGGTCGAGTAATAAGATCTAAAGATGTACCATAACAGTTCAAGATTGGTCGAGTAATAAGATCTAAAGATGTACCATAACAGTTCAAGATTGGTCGAGTAATAAGATCTAAAGATGTACCATAACATTTCAAGATTGGTTGAATAATAAGATCTAAAGATGTACCATAACAGTTCAAGATTGGTCGAGTAATAAGATCTAAAGATGTACCATAACAGTTCAAGATTGGTCGAGTAATAAGATCTAAAGATGTACCATAACAGTTCAAGATTGGTTGAGTAATAAGATCTAAAGATGTACCATAACAGTTCAAGATTGGTCGAGTAATAAGATCTAAAGATCTACCATAACAGTTCAAGATTGGTCAAGTAATAAGATCTAAAGATGTACCATAACAGTTCAAGATTGGTCGAGTAATAAGATCTCAAGATCTACCATAACAGTTCAAGACTGGTCGAGTAATAAGATCTAAAGATGTACCATAACAGTTCAAGATTGGTCGAGTAATAAGATCTCAAGATGTACCATAACAGTTCAAGATTGGTCGAGTAATAAGATCTAAAGATGTACCATACCAGTTCAAGATTGGTCGAGTAATAAGATCTAAAGATGTACCATAACAGTTCAAGATTGGTCGAGTAATAAGATCTAAAGATGTACCATAACAGTTCAAGATTGGTCGAGTAATAAGATCTCAAGATCTACCATAACAGTTCAAGAATGGTCGAGTAATAAGATCTCAAGATCTACCATAACAGTTCAAGATTGGTCGAGTAATAAGATCTAAAGATGTATCATAACAGTTCAAGATTGGTCGAGTAATAAGATCTAAAGATGTACCATAACAGTTCAAGATTGGTCGAGTAATAAGATCTAAAGATGTACCATAACAGTTCAAGATTGGTCGAGTAATAAGATCTCAAGATCTACCATAACAGTTCAAGAATGGTCGAGTAATAAGATCTCAAGATCTACCATAACAGTTCAAGATTGGTCGAGTAATAAGACCTAAAGATGTACCATAACAGTTCAAGATTGGTCGAGTAATAAGATCTGAAGATGTACCATAACAGTTCAAGATTGGTCGAGTAATAAGATCTAAAGATGTACCATAACAGTTCAAGATTGGTCGAGTAATAAGATCTAAAGATGTACCATAACAGTTCAAGATTGGTCGAGTAATAAGATCTAAAGATGTACCATAACAGTTCAAGATTGGTCGAGTAATAAGATCTAAAGATGTACCATAACAGTTCAAGATTGGTCGAGTAATAAGATCTCAAGATCTACCATAACAGTTCAAGAATGGTCGAGTAATAAGATCTCAAGATCTACCATAACAGTTCAAGATTGGTCGAGTAATAAGACCTAAAGATGTACCATAACAGTTCAAGATTGGTCGAGTAATAAGATCTAAAGATGTACCATAACAGTTCAAGATTGGTCGAGTAATAAGATCTAAAGATGTACCATAACAGTTCAAGATTGGTCGAGTAATAAGATCTCAAGATCTACCATAACAGTTCAAGAATGGTCGAGTAATAAGATCTCAAGATCTACCATAACAGTTCAAGATTGGTCGAGTAATAAGACCTAAAGATGTACCATAACAGTTCAAGATTGGTCGAGTAATAAGATCTGAAGATGTACCATAACAGTTCAAGATTGGTCGAGTAATAAGATCTAAAGATGTACCATAACAGTTCAAGATTGGTTGAGTAATAAGATCTAAAGATGTACCATAACAGTTCAAGATTGGTCGAGTAATAAGATCTAAAGATGTACCATAACAGTTCAAGATTGGTCGAGTAATAAGACCTAAAGATGTACCATAACAGTTCAAGATTGGTCGAGTAAAAAGATCTAAAGATGTACCATAACAGTTCAAGATTGGTCGAGTAATAAGATCTAAAGATGTACCATAACAGTTCAAGATTGGTCGAGTAATAAAATCTCAAGATCTACCATAACAGTTCAAGATTGGTCGAGTAATAAGATCTCAAGACGTACCTTACAGTTCAAGATTGGTCGAGTAATAAGATCTCAAGATCTACCATAACAGTTCAAGATTGGTCGAGTAATAAGATCTAAAGATCTACCATAACAGTTCAAGATTGGTCGAGTAATAAGATCTAAAGATGTACCATAACAGTTCAAGAATGGTCAAGTAATAAGATCTCAAGATCTACCATAACAGTTCAAGATTGGTCGAGTAATAAGACCTAAAGATGTACCATAACAGTTCAAGATTGGTCGAGTAATAAGATCTCAAGATCTACCATAACAGTTCAAGATTGGTCGAGTAATAAGACCTAAAGATGTACCATAACAGTTCAAGATTGGTCGAGTAATAAGCTGAAGATCTTGGCACTAACCCTGCCACATATTACGTGTATAGAGAGCTCATGTAGGCTCGGCCATGACGACGTGTTCCCGGTAGCGACATATACACACACATTGAGAATGAACGCATATTATTTCCACTGTTAGATCTGATGAAATTACTTAAAGTAACCCAAATAGAAGATGAGGTGACATCAGTAAAAATAATAATTCGAATTCTACCATGACTACCTGAAATATTCGAATTTGATTGGACAAACAATAAAATCACAATAAATTTAAATATAATCAATTTGGATTGAAAATGCGTCCGATTTATTACCGGTTCACTGCGTACTTATACAACCGACAACACTGTCGCACTACTTTTGTTTGACCAACATGGCTGATGTCAACACAACAGACGTTATTGATTTCGGAATATTTTAGATGGTCCGATAAGTGTACTTCTGTGCTCGGCAACATGGACAGGTAAACTGAGCCCAGAAACATCAGCGTAATTTAACATCGTTAAAATAATTAACTCGAACGAAAATATCGTCTTCTTTCATGTGTAGACCTATCTAATTAACACATCTCTTTTAAAATGAACATTAGATTCCATAAATTCGGTCTAACATTAATTTAATTTGCAAACATCGTTCGTTTATCTCCTAAATCAACCACATGTCGCCAGCTTGATATTCCTATGCTGATGCATTTGGACTCAGTAAAAATGTATTACTTTAGAGTCCTGTAATCTAAAACATACAGACCAAGGCTAATCACGGCATGCAAGGTTGAAACTCGACCCGTGAAGACCCGGGTAGAGAATAGTTCTTCAACAACCCAAGCTTGCCGTAAGAGGCGACTAACGAGGTCGGGTGGTCAGACTCGCTGACTTGGTTGATGCATTTTATGGTATCCCAACTGCGTGGATCGATGCTCATGATGGCATTTGTCTGGATTGTCTAGTCCAGACTCGATCATTTACAGACCGCCGTCGTATAGCTGGAATATTGCAGAGTGCGGTGTTAAACAAAATAATATATACGGTTCAAACTCTTTTTGTGATTTAGATGAGCGAAAGCGATTACCTTCACAAGTTCCATCGTCCGGTCCCATGGTTGTCAGGGGCTTTTCACATATAAACGACATAGCTTCATCACAGACCACAGCATCCCAATAACCGTCCACGGTGGCCACTGCACAGTGTTCGCCTTTGATCACAGATTGGTTGCCACTTACAGCCCAGTTGGCGTAGACCAATGGCATGCAGTCCATCCACACCCATTGCCCAGCGTTATGCCAGGAAGCCCCAATGTAATGCTTAGACGCTGGAAAAAATCAAGTAGTTTTCGTGACAGACATTTTCGCCGACTGCAGCTTATCACAATTTAGGATGGAAGACTTCATAGCAATACCTTAATTCAACGATAATCATATCGTGTATCGATACAACATGATTTGTATGTCATAAGGAGCACTTCTAATTCGGTATGAAAACTGTTTGTGAAATCTCAATGTTCTAATGACAGACCCCCCGATTCAATGCTAATTTAATTGCTTCTGGTTTCCGGATATATTTTGGTGTGGTCTATTTCCATTGATGTTGGAATATGACTACTCGACAAGGTAAGAGTCGAGCTTTCATGTATGATATCCTGTATTGAATTGCGACCTTAATATTGATATACATATCCTATCGCGACAAAGTGTATCGACACAGCCCTGAACAGCTCGTATCCAGGGATTAGGAACCTGTCCAGAATATGCGATTGAGACCAGCCAACCCAACTTGGTGTAGCCAAGTAGTTAGGGTGTTCTTTCGTCATGTACAGAGCATTTAAGATCGAACAAGGAAACTGAACAGCAGATGGTCGATGTCCCTCACATTACAAAAAAAATGTCACGACTCCCCTTAATATGCAATTTTCTTATCACACGATTTACGGATCGAGAAACGTTAATTTTGAGGGCCAAAATGAACACGGAAATAGCTTTTTAAGTTGTTGTTTGATTTTGGTTTTTAAAAAAAGTATTGTCGATTTGGGTAAAAACAATATAAAAAGAAAAATTATTATTTCCCATGCTTAACATAACTGAAAATAGTTAAAAATTCGATGATAGAACCATCTTTCTCAAATATTTGATTTTACCCAATACTTGCGAAGAGTCGGGTCAGCGGATCCTTAAAACAAGTAATGGAAAATTTAACTCCTGTACTAACGTAAACACAATATTTAGATCTTGAAAATCATGGTATTAGGATGGCAACTAAAAACAACAGAAAGAAATCACGAGGAAGAATGTGAATGAATTGAACCTGTAACAAATTCATTTTTTATCCAAAATATATCAAGTTTGATGGTACTGCACTTCTGAACTCACAGATGTGCCGATATACTTCATGCAGATAGTGTTGTTTCGAGTCACTGTCCACCGTGACGAGGCGGTCTCCATCAGCACGACACGCAGCAGCAGCGTTGATCCACGTCTCGGGCTGAGGGTGATGCTTGACACAGAGCTCGGCCTCGTATATGTAGGTGTAACCGTCAGCCGTGGGGCATCCTGGATGAGAGTCTGGAAACCATTTTGGACATTTTAAACCCCTTTTGCTGAATGGTGGAGCGAGTGAGTGTAATGTGGGAGGAAAGCCCAAAGGTAGACTACGCGGATCATCAATACATGTGTTGGTTTAACGCCGATTTGAACAGTTTTTCACTTATATCAAGTGGTGTCATTTTTATTTTCGAGGAAACGCGACATGACATAAGTCCTAAATGTTTACCACTTTGGTTGTTTGTTTGTCGTTTACGCTGCATTCAGCAATATTCCAGCTATATGACGGCGGTCTGTATATAAATCGAGTCCGGACCATACAATCCAGTGATTAACATCATGAGCATCGATCCACGCAATTGGGATACTATGACATGCATCAACCAAGTCAGCGAGCCTGGCCACCCGATCCCGTTAGTCGACAAGCATAGTCACTTTTTTAAGGCAAGCATGGGTTGCTGACCTTTTCTACCCCGGATCTTGACTGAGACAAAGCAAGGGTAGTCTAGGGCGTCCATTCGACTCTGCATAGCAACTTGCTGCACCTTAGCCCACCGCGAAGTCAACAGCAAAGTCAGTTTCCAATGCTGACAACTTCGTAAAATGTATTCAGGGTGACGGAGTGATATCATGTTAGCATCCATTCAGCAATATAAACGAGACAGCCAGACTTGTATATGTGTTAGTTTTTGTTGATGGCTAAAACTGACAACAATTGCAGGCGACTGAAGGGATGATGTAAATCCAGGGAACCGTGCAGGTAGCAGAGGTAGTTGGTTGGTTTGTTGTGTGACGCCGCACTCAGCAATATTCCAGCTATATGACGGCGGTCTGTAAATAATCGAGTCTGAACCAGACAATCCAGTGATTTAATATCATGAGCATCGATCCACGCAATTGAAATTGATGACATGCATCAACCAAGTCAGCGAGCCTGACCACCCGATCCCGTTTGTCGCCTTTTACGACAAGCATAGTCGCCTGTTACGGCAGGCATGGGTTGCTGAAGACCTATTCTACTCCGGATCTTCACGGGCCAAGAGGCCCCATGGTCCCTAGTATGGTGATATACCTTCAGTTTCTGGTGATCTATACCCCCTTTTTTATTATGTATTGTTATAAATAGTGATATGTTTTTTTTATGGTTACATGCTAGTTTTAAATACTATTCAGTGATATGCTAGGCCTTTATAGTTTCCATGTATTTCTTATGTATAACATTTGATAGTCGTGATATGGCTGAAATACTGCCGAGGTGACTAAATTTTAACTCACTCACTCACTCACTCACTCATTCAGACTAACTAGTGGTCGATAGAACATCAGTTATGACACACTAATAGCCAGGTCACACTTGCATGGGTTATTACGGTGATTTCGGGGTAAAATTGACCCCAAGCAACCTATACTTGTCAGAGGCGACATAATATCAATCGCTGACATGTACGGACTCGTTTAAATACAGGACGCTGTCATAGACCTCGAATATAACCTTGGTGTTAAACAACAAAGACACACGCATAAAGGGACCTTTGAGAATAATACTTTAACAAACAAGTATCCGAAGTGCTGTGGAATGTGTGGAATTAGTGAATCGATTCAGATGACGTCGCTAAGTGTGGGTACGTACATTGACATTGGCCCGTGAATAATTGGACATTTTGTGTTTCAGATAGCACCGCCTCACAGACGTAGCCAGACTTCACTCCACAGTTGACGTTCTGCCAGCCAATACCCATCTCCTTGTCTTTTGCCAATTGGACACACAGGCCGTAGCCATCAGGCTGTGAGGGCAACCAGTTCGTGTTGCCAAGAGTTCCCCCGTCTATCCAGTTGTATGAGATACCATTATTCTCTGGTTCCAGGTGTAACCCAATAGAAAAGGAAGTGGCTGTGGAGAGAAACATACATTGATCATATACCACTGACTATCTGGTCTTCTAGTGTCAGCGCAAGTTCCCACTGGTCTACAATGACGTTGATAACTGTTCTACATAGTTATCGTAGAGAATGATTCACTGTGTCGAACAATGCCAAACATACACTTATGTGATCGTGACAGGTTTCACCTTGAACACACGGTATCGGCTCATCGAATATAAATGTTTGTTTGTTACTTAACGCCGCACTCAGCAATATTCCAGCTATATGACGGCGGTCTGTAAATAACCGATTCTGGACCAGACAATCCAGTGATTGGCATCATGAGCATCGAGCCACGCAATTGGGATACCATGACATGCATCAACCAAGTCAGCGAGCCTGACCACCCGATCCCGTTAGTCGCCTCTTACGGCAAGCATAGGATGCTGAAGACCTATTCTCTACCCGGATCTTCACGGGTCTCAACGAATATAAAAATGTGTTTAGATCCCAAACGCAAACCTAAACACGTTTCATGTACCATAATTGGGCTTAGGGTTTAGATTCATTGTAGGTAATTTGACAAGAGGCGCTTTCGATTTTTTAGTGTTTAATGTTGATACATGGATACTATGTCCTTTTTCATAGTCACCATTAACCGAGCTTGGTTTATTGTATTTTTATGTCAATATTCTACCAAGTTTGTCGGTATGGTTTATGCCTGACTGAGAGTGAATCTGATTTGTACATCTTCGTCATATTTGACTTATTGCCTAATAATATGCCTAATATATAATAAATATATGTTTAAATATAAAGTAAAGACACAAGAACGGACACAGTAGACAACAAGACCAGATTAATGGCACAAGATCAGATACAGTAGACTCATGACCAGATACAGTAGACAACAAGACCGGATACAGTAGACACAAGAACGGATACAGTAGACACAAGACCAGATACAGTAGACACAAGACCGGATAAAGTAGACAACAAGACCAGATACAGTAGACACAAGACCGGATACAGCAGACACAAGACCAGATACGGTAGACAACAAGACCAGATACAGTAGACACAAGACCAGATACAGTAGACACAAGACCAGATACAGTAGACACAAGACCAGATACAGTAGACACAAGACCAGATACAGTAGACACAAGACCAGATACAGTAGACAACAAGACCAGATACAGTAGACAACAAGACCAGATACAGTAGACAAAAGACCAGATACAGTAGACACAAGACCAGATACAATAGACACAAAAACGGATACAGTAGACACAAGACCAGATACAGTAGACACAAGACCAGATACAGTAGACAACAAGATCAGATACAGTAGACAACAAGATCAGATACAGTAGACACAAAACCAGATACAGTAGACAACAAGACCAGATACAGTAGACACAAGACCAGATACAGTAGACACAAGACCAGATTAATGGCACAAGATCAGATACAGTAGACTCATGACCAGATACAGTAGACAACAAGACCGGATACAGTAGACACATGAACGGATACAGTAGACACAAGACCAGATACAGTAGACACAAGACCGGATACAGTAGACAACAAGACCAGATACAGTAGACACAAGACCGGATACAGCAGACACAAGACCAGATACGGTAGACAACAAGACCAGATACAGTAGACACAAGACCAGATACAATAGACACAAGACCAGATACAGTGGACACAAGACCAGATACAGTAGACAACAAGACCAGATACAGTAGACACAAGACCAGATACAGTAGACAAAAGACCAGATACAGTAGACACAAGACCAGATACAGTAGACACACGAACGGATACAGTAGACAACAAGACCAGATACAGTAGACACAAGACCAGATACAGTTGACAACAAGACGAGATACAGTAGACACAAGACCAGATACAGAAGACAACAAAATCAGATACAGTAGACACAAGACCAGATACAGTAGACAACAAGACCAGATACAGTAGACACAAGAACGGATACAGTAGACACAAGACCAGATACAGTAGACACAAGACTAGATACAGTAGACAACAAGATCAGATACAGTAGACACAAGACCAGATACAGTAGACAACAAGACTAGATACAGTAGACACAAGACTAGATACAGTAGACCCAAGACCAGATACAGTAGACAACAAGATCAGATACAGTAGACACAAGACCAGATACAGTAGACAACAAGACCAGTTACAGTAGACACAAGAACGGATACAGTAGACACAAGACCAGATACAGTAGACACAAGACCAGATACAGTAGACACACGGACGGATACAGTAGACAACAAGACCAGATACCGTAGACACAAGACCAGATACAGTAGAGAACAAGACCAGATACAGTAGACAACAAGATCAGATACAGTAGACACAAGACCAGATACAGTAGACAACAAGACCAGATACAGTAGACACAAGACCAGATACAGTAGACACAAGACCAGATACAGTAGACAACAAGATCAGATACAGTAGACACAAGACCAGATACAGTAGACAACAAGACCAGATACAGTAGACACAAGACCAGATACAGTAGACAACAAGACCAGATACAGTAGACAACAAGATCAGATACAGTAGACAACAAGATCAGATACAGTAGACACAAGACCAGATACAGTAGACACAAGACCAGATACGGTAGACACAAGACCAGATACAGTTGACAACAAGAAGAGATACAGTAGACACAAGACCAGATACAGAAGACAACAAAATCAGATACAGTAGACACAAGACCAGATACAGTAGACAACAAGACTAGATACAGTATACACAAGAACGGATACAGTAGACACAAGACCAGATACAGTAGACACAAGACTAGATACAGTAGACAACAAGATCAGATACAGTAGACACAAGACCAGATACAGTAGACAACAAGACCATATACAGTAGACACAAGACCAGATACAGTAGACACAAGACCAGATACAGTAGACACAAGACCAGATACAGTAGACACAATACCAGATACAGTATACAACAAGACCAGATACAGTAGACACAAGACCAGATACAGTAGACACAAGACCAGATACAGTAGACACAAGAACGGATACAGTAGACACAAGACCAGATACAGTAGACACAAGACTAGATACAGTAAACAACAAGATGAGATACAGTAGACACTAGACCAGATACAGTAGACAACAAGACCAGATACAGTAGACACAAGACCGGATACAGTAGACACAAGACCAGATACAGTAGACAACAAGATCAGATACAGTAGACAACAAGATCAGATACAGTAGACACAAGACCAGATACAGTAGACAACAAGACCAGATACAGTAGACAACAAGATCAGATACAGTAGACACAAGACCAGATACAGAAGACACAAGACCAGATACAGTAGACACAAGATCAGATACAGTAGACAACAAGACCAGATACAGTAGACACAAGACCAGATACAGTAGACAGGAGACCAGATACAGTAGACACAAGACCAGATACAGTAGACACAAGAACGGATACAGAAGACACAAGACCAGAACAGTAGACACAAGACCAGATACAGTAGACACAAGACCAGATACAGTAGACAACAAGACCAGATACAGTAGACACAAGACCAGATACAGTAGACACAAGAACGGATACAGTAGACACAAGACCAGATACAGTAGACACAAGACCAGATACGGTAGACACAAGAACGGATGCAAAACCGTTTCTATATGACTGAAACAATACAAATGAGAAGTTAAATCCTAACTCACTCACTGTTTAACTGATCTTCCAGGTGGGCATTGATGCTGTTGATCTTGTCCTGTGTATCGAGCAAAACAAGGTGTAATCTGTTTTCCCGACAGAAGGTACGCGCATCTGTCCACGACTTCAGTGTCGTGAACACCTTTATACATAGCCCTGAGTTGTTGAGATACACGAACCCATCATGTCTTGGACAGTTTGGAGGGTCTGAAAAACAGACACGTCTGAAGTAATGATGACACATGCATAAGAATACATGTCATGGCAAGACAGGCGCGAACAAGTTATTAATTAACAATATTCCTTGTTTAGTTAATAAAGGGACAAACTAATCCATAATCATAAGAAAACTTAACAAAAGTCCATTGTACCACTGTGACTATTGGGTACACAATGTGTTTATGAATCACTATAATATAGTAAAGAAACCCATTCATCCGAAACAGAATTCCGTAGCATGAGCATCGTTCCACGTCGCTGGAAATGGTGCCCCACAAGTTTGTTTGTTTGTTTGTTTGCTTTTGTTTAACGCCGCACTCGACAATATTCCAGCTATATGACGACGGCCTGTAAATAATCGAGTCTGGACCAGACAATACAGTGATTGACATCACTAACATCGAGCAACGCAATTGGGATACGATGACATGCATCAACCAAGTCAGCGAGTCTAACCACCCGATCCCGTTAGCTGCTTCTTACGACAAGCATAGTCGCCTTTTACGACAAGCATGGGTTGATGAAGACCTTACTTCCCCGGATCTTCACGGTTTTCGTGCCATAACTACAATCTTGCAGAATGGAAGGACCTACACTTTGTACATTCATATAAACTCAGACAGTCGTGAAGCGTACCAAACCCTCAAATATTCTTAATGTAAAATGAAATCGAAGTAGACAATATTCTGGCTGTTATCTTTAATCAGTTTTTTTTTACAAAAATCCTAAAACTTACAATCTCATTAAAATCAGATATTAGTTCTCGCTACCGCTTAACAAAGATCTGAGGACATCCCATTGCGGGTCACGTCAGACCGACCTTTCGCGAACTTTGACCGACCAATGAAATGACTGATAAGAAGTCGACAAAAAAAATTAACAAAAGAACATCCTGGAATGGCTAATAGATGGTCTAGATTGTATGAATACGGACATAAAGCCCATAACTGTCGTTCGGAATACACTGTGTGTTTTTTCGAGATTGCACGATCAAAAATCACATTCCAACTGTCACTTTCATGATCTGATAAGCGATGCTCTGATTGGTCAGATGAAAGGTCGTTCTGACATGACCCGCAATGGGATGTCCTCAGATCTTTGTTGAGCGGTAGGGACAACTAAGATCTGATTTTATTGAGATTGAAAACTTAAAGACAAACACGAAAATTTAATGATTTGAAAAAACGCGAAACATGCCCAATTTCAACGTCCTCGGTCTGTCAATGTCGGGGGGTATAGAAAGCCATCATTGTTTTGTCCCTTGTTCGACGCCAGTTTCAGTAATATTCTGTAATTATCGAGTCTCATTGACACTGTGAGCAACAACTACGCAAATGGGATACGATGACATGCATCAACCAAGGCAGCAAGCCTAACCACCCGATCCCGTTAGTCGCCTCTTACAACAAGCATGGGTTGTTGACGACCGCTTCTAACCCGCATCTTCACTGTGGTTTACAGAGTCATTGTACATTTGATAGTATTTAAAAGCATGGGGCAAAGGTCAAAAGTATACTAGCCACATAAAGAAACTGTGCACGGAGAAAATATATTCTGGATTGAAATACAACACAGCAAGAACAAAATGATGCAGACGCTGTAGCAGCTGAATGATCGGACCATAAGAAAATGTCAACGGGACCTGAACAACATCTGTTACGATGACGTCAGACGATCAAAATGGAGTAGGGGGTCATACGAAAAAGTCACAAAGTCAATAACGGGTATGACCACCCTGTGCGTGAATCACAGCAGTGCATCGGCGACGCATGGAGTCCACCAAATGGGCATGGAAGGCCTGGGGATGGCCTGCCATATCCTCCTCAAATCCTGTGCCAAGTCACGGACGTTATCTGGAGGATGTGGAAGACGACGCAGACGGCGCTCCATTTCATCCCACACATGCTCTATTGGGGAGAGATCTGGAGAAACTGCAGGCCATGGCAGTAACATGACATTGTTATGGTGAAGGAAATCCATTGCGGCCCTAGCCGTGTGAGGACGAGCGTTGTCATGTTGAAATGTCAATCCCGGGCCATGACGTTGCAGGAAAGGAATGACCACAGGCCTCAGAATCTGATCTCTGTAGCCAACACCGGTGAGATTGCCCTGAACAACCACCAAAGGAGTTCGGTGCCGTGCTGTTATCCCACCGCAAATCATCACAGGGCCACCTCCAAAACGATTCCTCTCCACAATACAGTTGCGTGCATAACGTTCTCCCAAACGCCGGTAGACACGTTGGCGCCCGTCACTGTGGGAAATGTTGAACCTCGATTCATCTGTAAAGACAACATTTCTCCACCATATTCGAGGTTGGCGAACATGATTTCGACACCATCTTAGACGGTTGACTCGATGACGGTGTGTCAGGATGGGACGTATGGCAGGGCGTCGTGGTCGAATCCTGTACTGACGTAAACGATTCCTGACAGTGTTGGAATGGATACGGCGCAGTCCAGGAATTGTCTCGGACGTCGTTACTGCCGTTTGGAATCTGTGTCGGAGATGTGTCACTCGAATCCATCTGTCCTGTCTTGGCGTCGTTACTCAGGGACGTCCTGAACGTGGGTGGTCGGCAACGTCATTTGTGTTCTGATAACGCCTCACCAATGCCGATATCGTGTTACGATGGCATTGGAAATGTGTTGCCACCTGTTGTTGCCTCATTCCCGCTCGGATCATTCCAATGGCTTCATGTCGCTGTGCAGCTGTCAATCTTGGCATGATTTGCTTGTGATATGCTTGTGTCTGTGCCTGAGAAGTTATTAATTTTTGAATGACCACAGATCATGCTTTCCAAAGTGACAGCGAATTTTGAGTTGCACATGCTGTGTACAGCTGCACAGGATGCACGTGCAGTAACACATTGCACGTCCATAGGCCCCCATCACTGACGTCATATCGCATGGCACGTGCATGAGCGTTTGAATGTCTCCAATAATTGCTGTGTTCAAACCTATATTTCATATATGGACGGTGAGCCCTTATATCTATATTTTCTCCGTGCACAGTTTCTTAATGTGGCTAGTATAGAATTTTTTTTTTAAAAACCCGGAACATATCTGTTGCTGTCTACTACTAACTACACATAAAGATCACAGCCATGTCTCTTTTTAGATGGCACTCCAATTAAGGTTTTAAAAGAAGCCAAATTTTTGGGATTAATTTTCGACCACCATTTGACGTTTCTACCACATATCAAATATTTAAAGACTAAATGCCTGAAGGCACTAGATTTATTGAAAGTTGTCTCCAATTCAAAGTGGGGAGGGGATCAGAAAACCCTTCTTCACTTATATAGATCTTTAATTCGCTCTAAGCTGGACTATGGCTCCATTGTTTATGCTGGAGCCTGCAAGAGTAATTTAAAAAAGCTAGATTCAATCCACCATCAAGGACTTAGACTGTGCCTTGGTGCATTTAGAACTTCTCCCGTTGACAGCCTCTATGTCGAGGCTGATGAACCCTCTCTGAAACAACGCCGTATTAAATTGTCTCTCCAGTATGTTACTAAATTACGTTCCAATCCCTCCAATCCTGCTTATGATTCCGTTTTTCATCCCCTATATGAAGAGCTGTTTCAGAAGAATCAAAAGCTGGTTCCACCACTTGGATTTCGGATCAAATCTCATTTTCATGCTGCAAATTTAGATATTGGATATGGATATTGGATTTGGATATTATCTCTCCTTACTGTCTTTTGTCTTCTCCTCCCTGGCAGTTGGTGAGGCCGGAAGTAGACATTTCCCTCACTCGTTTTATCAAATCTGACACTAATCAACTAGTATATCAACAGGAATATTTACAATTAAGATCTAAATACGATACACACCGTTCAATCTTTACTGATGGATCCAAGGACGGTGGCAAAGTAGCAAGTGCCGCTGTCGTTGGATCAAAACATTTATCCTCTAGAATACCAGACAATAGCTCTATTTTCACTGCTGAGGCCAATGCTATCCTGACAGCCTTGTTATGCATTCAGAAACAGCTTGCATTTAAACAATTTATAATCTTTTCTGATTCTCTATCTTGTTTTCAGGCACTGAAAAACGTCTCTTCTAATCATCCAATTATTTTAAACATTTCAGAACTTTATAATGATCTTTCAACTGGCCAATACGACATCGTCTTTTGTTGGTTGCTCAGTCATGTGGGCATAAAAGGCAACACAATGGCTGCTGCTGCAGCTAAAGCAGCACTCAACAAATCTGTGACACCACTTCTAATTCCATACAGTGATTATATCCTGTGATCAGATGTTACATCAGGGATCTTATGCAAAAGAAGTGGGACACCCAAGTAGGTATCAATAAATGACATCAAATTAAGCCAAATATCGGTTACACCTACTTGGGTTGTCAGTCCAGATTTGAAGAGGTCATTTTACGACGATGTCACATTGGCCATTCAAGATATACAAATGAATATCTATTAAAAGGTGAGGTTCTTCCATTTTGTATCCCTTGTGATGAAAGAATCACAGTCAGGCATGTCCTGCTTGACTGTATTGATTTTTCCATCAAAAGGAATAATTTTTTCCAGGTTTCATCTATGAAGGATCTTTTTCAGGTAAGTACTCATTTAATTATTGTTTTTTTTAAAAGAAATTGAATTAATAGATAAATTTTGATTAAATGTATTGTAAAAGGTATGTGCTTTTAATTTGGTAAAATGATTATATGACTGTGATTGTTAGTGGCTGTACCTTCAAAGGGGGTTGAAGGAACGTAAAATAATTGTCCCCCTGAGAGGGTACGTAAGTCCCACTCCCTTCAAAGTATGCTTCATTTTCCAGGCTTTTAATCGTAGAATATTTGTTGGTTTTACATTGGCTTAAAATATCTAACAATCGCCAGTGGCCATAGGGATAGTGTAAATCCTGCTGGGGTACCATGCAGGAAGCAGATGTACCGTTAGTCCCCATGGTACCTAGTATGGTGACCTACCTTTGGCTATTGGTGATCTATAGCCCATTTTTATTGTGTACTGTTCTGAATTGTTCTGAATTGTTAAGAATGTTATTATGATATGGTAGTTTTAAATCTACATCTGTGATAGTCTAGTGGTTTTACTGTCCTTTGTCGACAGATTTTAATGTCTATATGTATTAATATATAACTTGATTTAGTCACTATATGGCTGGAAAATTGCCGATGTGACTTTAAATATTAACTCACTCACTAACTCACTCACAGCCATGTCTGAACGATCTGCGAAGATCCTGGATAGAAAAGATCTTCAGCAACCCATGCTTGCTGTAAAAGGCGACTATGCTTGTCGTAAAAGGCGACTACCGGGATCGGGTGATCAGGCTCGCTGACTTGGTTGATGCATGTCATCGATCCCAAATTGCTCATGATGTCAATCACTGGATTGTCTGGTCCAGATTCGATTATTTACAGACCGCATTCATATAGCCGGAATATTGCTGAGTTTGGCGTTAACAACAAACAAACACTTGATAACATTAATCATGTAAACATACCCAAGGAAGACCCCATCATCAAACCAAAGCCTTTGTTCCAAGAAGCGTCCATCTGCATCAGTCCAATAGGGTAATCCAGGTGCAGGTCAACAACAGGTAGTGGCAGAAAAAGGTAATGTATTCCGATGTTACAACAATCGGAATATTCGAAGTAAGAATGTATTGCCGCTGGTAAGGAAGTGATGTCCTGTCCCCTTTCCACAAAAAACATCACGAGGCCATCCCCGGGGACAGGAAATATATCAATCGTATTATAATGCTGAAACCGTTCAACGGCAGGTACGATCGCCATGATCGGGTCTCCTAGATGGTCATTGACACTGAAGTAGCTCGAATCCGCTCGCCTTCCTAGCATCACTACCTGGATTGGACGTGAGGCTTTCAGACAAAATACTTTGAGTGTTTCTACATCAATATAGTCACCAGCATCCAGATAAGTATATAGGTTCCCTCCATCATATATCTCAGTATTATTTTCTGATGCGACTACTCTCAAAACTGCAGCATCTTCGGAAACTGCTGGAAGAACAAAGTTCCTCCCAAAGAAAGCTTTAGGTAGCATCATTTCCTCAATAACCCGTTCCCAACCCGAATCTCCAAGAAAAGTTACACCAGCAACAACTGATATTGGCTTTTGACTTCTAATAAACGTCCCTGTCACGTCTCCAGAACAGTACATATCATATTTCTGCTTTGCTAAGATCCTGACACTCATCAGTATGGATGGAGATAGAAAGATAGAGCCACAATTGAGTTCCATTCTGGGTGTAATTTCCACGTTTGTATCTTCGTACCCTATGATGGAGAAGTAGGAGTAGCCGCCACCAGTTGGAGGGTAGGACACGAGATAGAAGCTCGTGGACCATCTGCTTTTAGGGATAGCTAAATAGCCGTCATTGTCTCCCCTGATGACGTAAAGAGATATGTCATCGCTGCTTGTGATGCTGACTCCCGTATCATGCGCTGGCGTTGAAATAGCCGTGTATTGTAGGTCTATGGTGAGAGTAAGCGTGTCGTCGATGGTATAGTGGTTACTACCAACGGGTCCAGCATTGTCAATGACCACGGCAGTGTCTTTCGGGCCGCGCATGTGAAGTATGATGAGACCACTTAATGATGCATTGGGAGGGGATGGGAAGCCCAGCATGAACTCTCTGCCACGTTCGTTCATATATCCTGTGAAAAGATTGAAATATCCATATAATGAGCATTATATTACACATGGGCTCGGACATCAAGGAAATAGCTTTCAGTATGTGTCACATAGCATACATGTATCATTACAATACAAAAACCTCGATGGGTGAGTGAGTGAGTATTTTTTTACGCCGCTTTTAGCAACATTCCAGCAATATCACGGCGGGGGACACCAGAAATGGGCTCCACACATTGTACCTATGTCGGGAATCGAACCCGGGTCTTCGGCGTGACGAGCGAACCCTTTTACCACTAGGCTACCCGACCGCCCCAAAACATCCATGGAATTATCTGTAATTCCTATCTTTGAATATAACGATCGGGTCATCTGTTATTTCTCATATATCGTAGATTTGTTTCATTGTTGGGGTCAGGGAGGGAAACAAGTTGACATTCTTGTTTTTCTTACATGTGATTAACTGGACGGTAAAAAAGAGGCTTACTGGATTTGTTTAAATTTTCGTGCTCCACCATATCAACCAGCAACGATGAGCGAGTGAGCATGGTTTTACTCTGCTTTTAGCAATATCACGGCGGTGGACACCAGAAAGGGGCTTCACACACTGAACCCATGTGTGGAATCGAACCCGGGTCTTCGGCGTTACGAACGAACACTTTAACCACTAGGCTACCACTAGGCTTGATCACTGCGTATCAGTCAACATTGATAATTTGTTCGTTTTATTTGTTTGTTTATTTGTTGTTAAACGCCACACTCAGCAATATTCCAGCTATATGACGGCGGTCTGAAAATAATCGAGTCTGGACCAGACAAGCCAGTGATTAATATCACGAGCATCGATCAACACAGTTGGGATCGATGAAATGCATCAACCAAGTCAGCGAGCCTGACCATCCGATCCCGTTAGTCGCCTCTTACGACAAGCATAGTCGCCTTTTACGGCAATGTAGGGCAAACATTGGTTGCTGAAGACATATTCTACCCGGATCTCGATTTACAGACGGCCATACAGCTGGAATATTGCTGGGTTCGGCGTTAAAAAAACAAAACAATCAACATTGATGGTGTAGAAGATGCGATTCCCTGATACACATTCCGCGTCTGGTTGTCCCGTTATTGTCACAAAGGCCAGAAACGATCCTCGAACAATGCAGCTAGGATACCATCTTGACGTGTTTAATGTAAACAAGCAACCATCATCAAACCTCTACTTATCTGCAGATTTCAGAGTATATATAGAATGAAAAATATCTCGAGGGTTTAACAGTACATATACTCCAAATCACGTTAGTGTTTATGTTTATTTCCATAACGACGTTTTAACACAACCTCGGGGTATACACGTGATTTATTTTGTTTTGTTCTTGTTGATTGGATTGAAGAGGAAACACGTGGTGATTCCGGGTATGAATATAGTTTCCCTGCAACATATTCTTATCGTAAATGGATAGGGCGGTAAGGCTCGGTGACGTGATTGAGTGCATGTCATCGTATACCAGTTGCGTGGATCGATGTCCTGATGGCTATCACTGGATTGACTCGATTATTTACATACCGAAGCTACATGAGGCTGAAGTACTAGTATTATAACAAGGCTGCACTGACGTCAGTGGTGTCTCATATACTTTTCATCACTATTTGGCATTTTAGTCCCTTACAATCTATTTCAGCAGAAAGGGTCTAAATAGCAAAATAGTGATCAATAGATAATCAACAGATGCTTGTTGCAAGAGGCGACTAACGGGATCGGGTGGTCAGGCTCGCTGACTTGGTTGATGCATGTCAATGTATCCCATTTGCGTGGACATTCTTGCCGTAAAAGGCGACTATGCTTGTCGAAAGAGGCGAATAACGGGATCGCGTGGTCAGGCTCGCTGACTTGGTTGAAGGATGTCATCGATCATAATTGCGTGAATCCATGCTCATGATATCAATCACTGGATTGTCTTGTCCAGACTCGATTATTTACAGACCGCCGTCATATAGCTGGAATATTGCTGAGTGCGGTGTAAAACAACCAACCAACCAACAAACCAATTTGCCTTAAACCGACGCGACAATAAATTGTTTGTTGTTTAACGCCGCACTCAGCAATATGCCAGCTATATGAAGTCGGTCTGTAAATAATCGAGTCTGGACCAGACAATCCAGTGATTTACATCATAAACATCGATCCACGCAATTGGGATCGATGACATGCATCAACCAAGTCAACGAGTCTGACCACCCGATCCCGTTAGGCACGATAGTGATGTGCATCCCCCTAGCTATGCGATGACGCGCTGATCCTTATTCAAAGAAGTGGATAAATATCAAGTCTAGGACATGCCTCAATTTGGACTTTCCCCCGCCTTAAGCTGACATGCACCGACAAAACTAAACAAACACTGTTCTGTACAAAACACCGTTAAACCCACTTCACTCACTCACTTTTATTTAGGAACATTGACTTTTAATATAATTAATATTACTTTTACTTACTAACTTGGCCAGTATGTTTTTGTTTCCTTGAAAAGGATCATGCAACAGCCACGTCAAGACTCTGCTTAAGCTGTGGAACATGATACCCATTACTTAATACCGGTAATGTGCCTGTTGAAAAGAATCGATACTTTCTTCAAGATGACTTGAGGAGACATCAACATGGAGCCTTCCCAAGGTCGATTTCATTACAATCCATTGACGCTTCAAAAACCTCAAACTTAACATGGCAAGGCATGTTGGTAATTGTTGCAGATACCAAACTCGGGTATAACCTATTGGTTTTTCTCGGTCGCACCACCTATATATTTGCATTAAGCTACATTAATAGTTTTTATGCTTTGTTTCAAAACATTGAATGTTGTGTAAAATGAAATCATTGTTTTGTTATGAGTGCATAAACTTCAGCAATAGTTTTTATTACTAACTATGCCAACAGGTACCATTATGAAAACAAACGACCATTCTAGAATGGTTTTTTTACTTAAAGACATATGTCTCCCCTTCCTTTTGTTTTTGATACGTTAGTTCTTAATCTGCAAATCGGAATTGTTTTATAGCAAATTATAGCCTGGAAAGATAATTGTTTCATGCATAAATATTCATTAGCTGTAGAGTAGAAACAAACGCTACTTGTCTGAGGCTAAGTCCAAATTGTTTCCATTGAAACACATTTAAACAAAATTAGCAAATATGAAAAGACTATAGTTTCATGCAAAAATATTCATTAGTTTGAGAGTTATGGCTCGGAAACAAGGCCTTAGGTTGTTTGAGATTAAGTTCAAATTGTTCAAACAAGGTCTTAGGTTGTTTGAGATTAAGTTCAAATTGTTTCCATGGAAACAAAAACACGATAACATTTAGAAAAAAGATTCAAAATAGCAAAAGGCACCAGATAAGCTGATTGGAAAATGTTGAACGGTTATCGAATCGATGGTTTGAGGGGTACAACCTATTCGCGTAAACATTATTGGAATTGCCCCAAGGCGGGACAAGGAATGAGGAAGTATTTCAACCTTCATTTATATATTTTATATTCTTATTTGAATACAACCCTAAACTGTTAAAATATCTTTATCCACATCGATCAGTTTGTTCGTCTGTTTCTTATGTTAAACAAATGGAGATCTCCTTTTGGTTATGGATCAAAGAGAAGTTGCAAAGGTAGCTTTGACACCTTATTATAAATCAGTAAATATATCATGCTCTTTGATGGAAGACGTTAGTATAATTCCTACTGATGTTTCAACTGATTAGTCAAGGTTAGGTCCACAGTCAAGGTAAGGTCTACAAAAGATCGGACCCGTGAAGATTCCGGGGTAGAATAGGTCCATGCTTGCCGTAAAAGGTGACTATACTTGTCGTAAAAGGCGACTAACAGGATCGGGTGGTCAGGCTCGCTGACTTGGGTGATGCATGTCATCGATCCCAATGGCGTGGATCGATGATGAGGATTTTAATCACTGGATTGTCTGGTCCAGACTCGATTATTTAGTGACCGCCGTCATATAGCTGGAATATTGCTGAGTGCGGCGTTAAACAACAAATCAACCAACCAAACCAACTACAAAAGATCGACTTTCAAGAAATAGTAACAATATCCAGATCAATATTAGAGGTAGGGTGAAATGGGGTTTAACGTCTCGGTGAAGATAATGACACGTGCGTGTATGTGTCTGCTTCCACTAGCCCGGTCTAATGCCGGTTTGACAGTGCAGACACAGTATACATACTCCAAATCTGCCAGTCCTTCTTTTATCCCCTTAATGCCGGGAGCCAGGCAGGGTAACAACAAGTACCGTCTTTTAACGGTATGATGCGGCCGGGGATCGAACAACCCACCTCCCGCTCTCCGGGCAGAAGCTCTATCAAGAAGACCACGGAGGCGGTCAGATCAATGTTAACTGTGAGCCTTTTAAAATGTGGTATGCTTAAAATACCAAGCATCATCTATTTTCCAGTGTATCATATCTTCATTCCAGTAGACCCGTGAAGATCCGGGGTAGAATAGGTCTTCAGCAACTCATGCTTGCCGTGAAAGGCGACTATGCCTGTCGTTAGCGGCGACTTGGTCGATGCATGTCATCGATCCCAATGGCGTGGTTCGATGCTTATGGTATCAATCACTGGATAGTCTGGTCCAGACTCCATTATTTACAGACCGCCGTCATATAGCTGGAATATTGCTGAGTGCGGCGTTGAACAACAAACAAACCAAACAAAACCAAATCATATGCCAAGCATAATCTTCCATCCAGTGTATCACAGCTTCATTCTAGTATGATATATACACCTTTGGTTTTTTATGAGGGCGGACGCTAAAACAGATCTCCAATCAAGTTCCACTATTCTTTCAAAACGATGTGTGAGGTAGGAAAATACATTTATACGAGGAACCATCAATAACGCGTATGTACATCCTGGGGAGTGACTGACTTAGTGCTACGGACGCTTTGTGGGTCGGGGCTCTGATTACAAAAGGCTTGGGTTTTGGGGGAATGGAAAAGATCACAATGTGACCTCCCTGGGCT